TAGGGTTATATCATATTTTAAGACGTATGTGGTGTCGACTCCATTATTAACGAATTATTTAAAGAACTAAATAAAGAAATGATAAGAACTTACAATTTAAAAAAAAAATTAGGAAACTTTAGTTTTTTATATCAAATATTATTTCTTGCTTATTAAATATGTAACATATTTTATAAAGAAAAGCTTTTATTGATGACAGCAAATTCATTTTATTGTTAATTTTTTTAAACTTTAGTACCAATTAAAGCTTATACAGTTTTATTTATATTGTTTAATTTTTCACTTTCCTTTTTTTTTGATTGCCATTTAAAACAGAATCATATATACACTGGGTATTTGTTACAATAGTTATGTATTTTTTAAATTTTATTTATAAGAGCCGTGTCTTATAACGCATCTCCACGTGTGGTTTTTAAACCTACTAAAGATTCTTTTTTTAACTAGGCCTACAGGGAACTAGATGGCGAGGAAGTTATCAACGACTGAAGTAGAATTTACTAATTAAAACAGTTTACGTGTAGAAATTGAAATGGGAATCTCAATAGCTTTTTTTTGTTAACTTCAATAAAGGAAAAGTTTTAGAATTTAGGGAGAGGCTATAAACGAGGGGGGATGTATTTAATCTTCATGTAAGTGAAACATTTGATATAACTATACAAGTAAAATAATTATTAGTTTATATTTTTAGCTGCTTCCATAAAAGTAGACTAAATAATTTTAAATATTTTACTTTTAATGTGTTTTTCATAAGCTACTGTATTTAATAGTTATCATTTTTTAAACTTATTTTCTTTCGTTAAAAATGAAACAAAATAACGTTTTAACTGTAACTTACCATTCACTGATAAATATTAAAGATAATAATTAAACATTTATTGTTAACTAAGCAAAATATATATAAGATCTGAACTATAAATATATAGCAAACAATAAGCTATAGGCCCTGTATATTGCTTGTATAAGAATATTTGTATAAAAAGATATTAAATGAAGCCTACTGCGTTTAAAAATTATAAGAAATAAAAAACATGAAATTTAATTTCCTCATTCAACACCGGTGCTGTCAAATGGAAGCAACACAATTTTTTCTATAATTTTAGCTTCGGTGTGCAAAAGTCGTTTTTTTTGTAAATATGCGACTGAATATCAATTTCAGACAATAGTTATAATTATTATCATTATTACTTCTTTTTTAGGGGGTCGAGTCGGTAAAGCTCATGGTTGCTAAACCGAAAACTCTCGAGTTCGAACCCTCGGGCAGATGAGGCTCGTTAGCTGGGGACAGCCACTCTTCTAGGAGAGACAACTGCTGCTTTGTAGTTTGTTCTTGGTGGGACAAAGGCTATGGAAGCAAATCCAAAAAGAAAAGCAGGCTGAAATCGGAGTCAATGACCTCAATGGCGCATAACCAGTTGGCACATATCTTTAATTGTGATGGAGGCGTGGTCGAGTCGACAAAAGCTCATGGTTGATAAATTCGAAAAAAAAGTCTCGTGTTCAAACCCTCTGGCAGATAATGGCTCGATCCCTTCCAACACTAAAAATTAAGAACGAAGAAGAAGTAGAAGACTTCTTTTTTTAAATAGTAAAACTAATGTATTGATAAATTAATAAACTTTGTCAACTACAATGATTATGGGAGACAGGGGAGAACTATTGTACAGAGACGGATGACATCCCTCCCTTCTTCCCACTCTCACGTTTAACACTAAGACTAACATGCACTCTATTTCTTTCTCGTATACACAGTATAAAGGAAGTAATGCATAAAATACAAATAACATTTTGACAGTTTTCACCGATTTACACCTCAGTACTTCATCACACACGTTGAAGAATTTACAAAGCTTCCAGATACAATAAAAGTACAACATGCTACAACTTATGAACGGACAATTCTGATTTTCAGTTCTGTTACCGTCAATGGTGAAGAGAAAACTGCAGTTCATCAGCTGGACATTCTAACAAAAAAATTAAGTGAGTTAGAACAATTGAATGGACCAGCTGAACAGATAATAAGTTTCAGTGATGACAACAATACTTACGTATTACAAACTGTTGGAGATTTGTGGATTATAAAGTGTTTAGTTGAAAAAGTCACATTCAAATTGTTGGGAAGGTTATGGACAATTAAGAGAAAGTTGTACGGTGCATTGACATACAAGAAAAAGTTGACCATATTTGGTTGTAACCCCACCAAAGAGCCGGCTCAACAAATAAAAATGTCTTCGTTTAAAGAGTACTTTAACTTTATAAAACACTGGGGGACTGATGAAACATGTTCAAATTTTATACCAATTACACTACAGAAAGATGAATTGGTGCCTGCCTAAAAATAAGTACAAAGTAATGTTAACGAATAGTTATTTCGTTTTGTAAAAGCGTTAGGAGTTGGGTTAAGGGCTTTGTTTTGTGGCGTTGGGTAACGTTATGCAGCTTTTTTTGTTGTATTTGTTTCCCTAGATTTACCTTTTCAGTTATATTTTATTTTTACTAAATACATAATGACTAAACTAATTGCAAATTTATTGAGTGGAATTCAACTAAATATAGCTTTTAAGGTGCAGGTGACTTTATATATAATGGCAAGTTTTTAAGGGTTACATGCCTGTGTATATTTTTTTAGTACTTCCAACAAAACTGTAATATTAAAAAATAATGAACAAGATATTTCAGGCTCTAAACTGGAATCATGTAAAGGAAATAAAACACTCTATTATTTATCAAAAAGCGTACAGGTCGGATTCTCAGAATTCTATGTTCCAGTAAAACCACAATATGTTGATATTATTAGTTGGTTATCGTACAGCTACTGAAACGATATTTTCACAATAGGAAGAGGTGGCCACAAAAAAAGGTGAAGTAGCTTCAGGTGATTATGTAACATTGCTTGGAGGTGCCGTCTGTCCAATGTGGGATTGAAGACTGATGTAAAAATACTTATTTAGTTCTAAATTCAAACACTAACGAATCTGTGTATGTTTAGGTTTGTTTTATACTTTTTTTAAATGTCTATTTTAGTAGGTTGTTTTTTTAGTGTTTTTATGTGTTTCGTGTTTTGCTTGTTTGCAAATTTTATATTTTTAGTTGTTTAATTGTGTGTATGTGTTTAAACTAATTGCAGTACTGGTGATGCGATTGTTGAATAATTAAATATTATATGTGGATAAGAGAATGTACAGAGTAAGATCAGTAGGCGGGACGGGGGATGAGGTCAGCACCGGATTACATCTTTGCGAGGTGGGGGTTGAGGAAATGGCAGAGATGTGATAACGAATGGTAAATATAGAATTGTTAAAGGGGGTGAGGTGACAACCCCCCCCCCCCAGTTATTACATCGGGTTACACTCGACATTGTGTCGCCTCTGAGTAAATAATTTTATTTTAATACATTCAATCAATTATACTTTGTTTTATACTTTTAATTTACCGTTCAATAAAGTTTACAACATGTATTTGATTAATCATCCCAAGCTTTGTGTTACACTCTCTTATGTTTATCTTGCAAAAGTTTCTTATTGAAACAAGTGAAGATTTTTAATGTGATAAATAATTGTATAAAAATGTAAACCATTAATTCTTCTTGTTAAAAACAACAGAAATGAAATCTCAGTTTCCAACAGCTATCATTATTAAGAAACAAAGATACTTGTTTTAAAAATTCGAACATTTATCAAGCGATTAAAAAGAAAATTAATTTTGCAAAAAATTGCATAAAAACATTTTAATGACAAGCTGTTATTGATTTTTTTAAATAAATATAATAATGAACAACTATTTAAAGAACCAAAAAGAAAGGAGTTTTGAATACATTTACTAGATGAGAAGTGACACAGCATGTAATTTTAGTTATTTTAAGCCCTTAATGCCGGAATTATTTTTCAAGCGTATAAAAAATTATTTGTGCTGATTTTCTCTTATCATACTGACACTGAAATTGAGGTATATAGTTGTTTCGAAATTTGGAAACACATTTGATGCTTATTACCGGATGTCGCGAATTCGTTACTTCAGGTACTTATGGACCAAACAGTAATTGATTAATTTTTTTTAGACAGGGTCATTTTTACTGACACGTGTTTCTCTAAATATCCACGCACAAACAATAGAATATCACAAAATACACATATGGACAAGCAAGGAGATGTAGACTCACATGTAAAATTCATGAAAACTATAGTTTTAGTTGTTCTGGCATATAGTTACATAACTCTGCTAAACCTGCTAACAGTATACCACTTACATATCAAATTTGTAGTTTTCTATGAAAATGGCATATTCCGGTAACCGGAAATAGAACTTAATCTTCTTCCAGTTAAAAAAGTCAATGACTAGAATACCGTAATTTTTTTACTAACGCGTATTCCATTATACACGCGAGTTCCTATCAACTTCTGGTAAACATTTGTTTACAAGTTTAAGACAAATCCCAATTTTTAATAAACTCAGCAATATTTGTTTTGAGCATTAATTTTGGAATTTTAAAGTAAAATTTACACTGATGTTACGCATTCTAATCAAAATGCAAATGATGGTAAAATAAAATATTATTTTGACAGAATTCTTACAAATGGTTATGCTTTAGATAATGCAGTTTCACTTATATTAAAACACTTTATGTTTATTAAGATTCTCCACTTGAAAAAAATAGAGTGCATGTTAGTATTGAAAAGTTATGAGAGGGTGCAAGGGGGGGGGGGGGGGGGTGAAGGGTTTAATTTGTCTCTATACAAAAGTTCTCACATGTCCCCTATAATTATTGCAGTTGAATAAGTTTATTAATTTATCAATAGACTAGTTTTTATTTTTAAAAAAGAGTAGTAATAGTAACAGTGATTATAACTATTGTCTGAAATTTATATTCTGTCTCATCTTAAGAAAAAAAACAAGTTTTGCACACCTAAGCTGAAACTTTAGAAAAAAGTGTGTCACTTCCAGTTAACAGCACCCGTGTTGAATGAGGAAATTCCATTTCATGTTTTTATTGCTATTAATTTTAAAACGCTGCAGGCTTCATTGAAAATCTTGTTATACAAATATTTGTATACAAGCAATATACCGGGCCTATACCTTACTGATTACTAGATCTATATATTTATAGTTCAGACCTTATATCTCTTTGCTTAGTTAACAAGAAAAGGTTAATTATTATCTTTAATATTTATGAGTGTATAGTGTATGGTAAGTTACAATTTAAACCTTATGTTGTTGTTTTTTCAATTTTAACGAAAGAAAACAAATACACACATAAATAATTTAATTGAATAACTGTATTACCAGTAAAAAATAGTAGTTTATGGAAAAGACAACAGAAGCAATATATTTGATATTGTTTTGTCTACTTTTATTGAATCAGCTAAAAATAAAATCTAATATGTATTTTCTTGTATCGGTATAATAATTGTATCAGTTACATAAAGATTACATATATCTATCCCCTCACTTATAGCCCCTCCCTAAAATCTAAAACATTTCCTTAATTGAAGTAGCAATAACAAAAAAAAAGCTATTGAGATTACCATATCAATTTCTACACGTAAGCTGTTTTAAATAAGTAAATTCTACTTCAGTCGTTGATAAATTCCTCGCCATCTATTTCTCTGTAGGGCTAGTTAAAAAAATCGTATGTAGGTTTAAAACCCACACGTGGAGCCCACACGTGGTGCTGCGTTATGTGTCACGGCTTTATAAATAAAATATAAAAAAATAATAATTAGTGTAAAAAATTAATAAATAAATGAAACGAATTTGCTTTCATCAATGAAAGCATTTCCTTCTCAAATATGTTACATATTTAAAAAGCAATAAATAATTTTAAGATTATAAAAAACTTTCATAATTTTCTTTTTTAAATTGTAAAGTTTAAAAAAAACCTTTTTTTTATTCGTTAATAATGGATTCGACACCAAATGCGACTTAAAATATGATATAACCCTATAGTTAGACTGCGATTTCCAACAGAAAATGTATTTGACCCTTTATAGTCTGTAGTGGACTCGTAGTCAAAAAAAAAATCAGCAGTGATAACTTTTTTTAGTGTTCCTCTAGTGATCAGCACTTGTAATTTGTCTTAATATCCCCCCTTTATTGTTGGAATTTATTAATGTCTAATTACATTGAAAATGAGATATTATTACTTTGTCATTTGAAAGTAATTTATCTGAAAATTTTAATCCACATCGATGCTTTAGAAAATTGTAACATCGAGATACACGGTTTGCAAAAAGTCCAGAATAAAAGAAACACACGTGCAAGAATTGTAGACAAAAAAAAAAGCTTATACAAATCTAACCTATTTACATTTTAGCTTTTTAACTTCTAAATATCCACGAAAAAGCAAAAATTACGTGCGCTCAGATAAGGAAAGTACATTCACGTTTACCTGAATTATTTTAAAAACAAAATGTATTCATTGTAGTACTTACAACCAATACTTTTAAACATTTTAAAACGTTATTTTCAGATGCTTTGCAGATTCTAAGTTTAAATCCGATAATGGATTTTGAATATGACAGTTCTCAAACTGTTCTGAAAAACACAGAAAAACTTCTGTTGGATAATATTTTTTTGGATTTTACTGTTAAGGTTGATGACGTTTCTCTGCAATGTCACCGTATTTTTCTGGCAGCGTCGTCACATTTCTTCAGAGCACTTTTAATGACGGACATGAAGGAGGCTAAAGAGGGTTGTGTAACGATCAATGGGATTTCTCTTAAAACATTTCAACACATTTTAAAGTCAATGTATACTGGAAAAGTTCCTCTCACGAAAGATAATTTTATAGACATATGGAAAGCAGCGGATCAACTACAGAAAGATTTTATTATGCAAAACTGTGAGGATTTCGCTGCAAAGGCCATTTCCGTTGAAAACTTTGAAAGCGTAGTGAATACAGCTAAAGCTTTTAAATCCAAAAAAGTGTTGAATGCTTCAAAATCCTTTATGTTAAATAACTTTGGCTTAATTATGAACGACAAGCCTATAATGGAGCTCGAAGTTAAAGATTTCAATGAATTGATTGATTCTCGGGATCTAAAAGTAGAAAATGAAGACTGGGTCATACAAACAGTGCTAAAGTGGGTTGAGTATGTGCCAGAAGAAAAATGCATTGGTGAAAAAGAAGACGTTTATGCTGACATAGAACATAACACTTCAAAGAAAAATAGTTCCAATAATAAATTTGACAGAAGTCTTACCGCAGTCCATAAACAAACGTTGAATAAAATAAATCACAGAACTCAAGCCTTGACAAAATTATTGAAGTCTGTGAGGACGTGTCTTGTGAGTACACCACTTCTAAAAGATCTGCTAAAACATCGATTGATAATCAACAACAGTGAAGCTAGAGATGTTTTGATTGATGCTGTGTTGTATAAGACAACACATTATAACCAGGGACAATGGCGAACAAGTGCCATACATCGAGCTTCTTGTGAATGGGAGCATTACGGTGTTGTGTTGTATAAAATACATAGAACAATTTATTACATAAATGCATACGAAGATAAGCTATACAAATGTATAAGCTGTAGCGATCTGTCCATAGACTTATCTCTAGTTGTGTTTGACTCTTATCTGTACGCCAGTGGTGTTAACGACGGAGCTCAAACAAACAGCAGTTTGTACGTTTTGTATCGAAATGTTTGGAGCAAAATCACTGAGATACCAGGACGTCAGCTAATTTTAGTGCCATATGAACAATGTCTCTTTACTCTTAGTAAATGTTCTAATGAAATAAATCAAATATTTCCTAAAAACAGTAAACCAAAAGTTGAAGAATTTACAAAGCTTCCAGAGGCAATAAAAGTACAACATGCTATACATTATCAGAGGATGATTCTGATTTTCAGTTCTGTTACCGTCAATGGTGAAGAGAAAACTGCAGTTCATCAGCTGGACATTTTAACAAAGAAATTAACAGAATTAGAACAATTAAATGGACCAGCGGAACAGATAATAAGTTTTAGTGATGACAACAATACTTATGTATTACAAACTGTTGGAGATTTGTGGCTTATAAGTAGTTCAGTTGAACCAGTCACATTCAAAATGTTGGGAAGGCTATGGACTATTAAGAGAAAGCTGTACGGTGCATTGACATACAAGAAAAAGTTGACTATCTTTGGTTCTGACCCCACCAAAGAGCCAGCTGAACAAAAACTGCTGTATTCGGTTAAAAAGTACTTTAACTTTATAAAATACTGGGGGACTGATGAACAATGTTCAAATTTCATACCAGCTACTCTATTGAAAGAAGAAATTGTGCCTTTCGGAACATAATTACAAACTATTGCTATAATTGCTATTGCATTTTGGAAGGGTTTGGGGGCTGTGTTTTGTGGCGGAGGGTCAGTTTATATAGCTTTTTTGTTTGATTTGTTTCCTAAGATTTACGGTTTCAATTTTTTATAGTTGTGCTGCATACATTTATACTAAAATAATATCACTGATTGGTTGGATTTCAAGTAAATAATGCTTCATTTAGATTTGTTTACAAAGTAAATCTTCAAAGGGTAACACAATTGTGAATATTATTTTTGCAGTCCTTTAAAAATGTATTATTAAAAAAAATCTTACTGATCAAAATATATCAGGCTCTGAAATTGGAATAATGCAAAACAAATAGTGTTAAATTATAGATACGTGCACATGGGTAATAATTATAGGACAAAAAGTATAGGTCGCTCTCTCAGAACTGTGTGTTACAGAGAAAAAGCTACGTGTTGAGATAATTAGATGGTTGTCGTACAGCCGCTTAAAATGTATGCCCACGACAAGGAGTGGTGGCCACACAAAAAATTTAAGTTGTTCTAGCTAATCAAGAAACACTTCTAGGAGGTGCCGTCTTCCCGGTGGTTGACTGAAGACTAATCGTGATTTAACAATAATTTTTAGGTACTCAATTTAAACGCCAAAGAATCTGTGTGTTTAGGTGTGTTTTAGCATTTTTATCATTTATAATTTTGTAGGTTGGTTATTAATGTTTTGATGTGTTACGTGTTTTTATGTTCAAATATTTATATTTTTAGGAGGTTAACAGTTTGAATATATTTATTTTTACTCTGAATATTAGTAATTCATAGTAGTGTAAATATTGGTGGTGAGAGTTTTGAGTAATCAATAATTAATTATTTTGTGTGTGTTAATTAGTTTTATTATCAGAATGTATAGAGTAGGATCAGTTGGCAGGGCGGGGGATGAGGTAAGCACGGATGGCACCTTGGGGGGGGGGGGGGGGGAGGTGAATAAATATTAGGGCAGATATGTGATAACGAATGGTAAATATAGAATTGTTAAACGGAGTGGGGTTACAACCCCAGTTATTACATCGGCTGACACTTGTCATTGTGTCGCCTCTGAGTAAATAATTTTATTTTGATACTTTCAATCAATTATACTTTGTTTTATACCTTTAATTTACCGTTCAATAAAGTTTACACCACAAGCATTTTGTTGCAGTTATTCTTATGTATGTGTATCTTTAAGACATTCCTTATTTTAAAAAAAAAGTGAAGAATAATAATGTTGTAAATATTTATGTCAACAGGAAAATAGCACATTCTCTTTTGCTAACAACAAAGAAACGAATTCTCAGTTTTCAACTAAGAGCAAGGAAAGGTGATGTAAACAAAATTACTAAAATGCTTACTTTTAAACCTAATTCTATAATATTTAGCATATAGTTATAACACAAAGAGTTATGCCTAAAAATCAAAAAATAAGCTGAAAAATTCCTGCCGTTTCCATGGGGATAGCGGCCATCATGGATTTTGACAAATTGTTAGGTTTTACTTCCTTGTGGAAAGAACTAGGTTTTGCACTTTTGTTCGTATCTGCATCAGAACCGTTTCATTTGACTTTTTCGGTTGACAAAATTCCACATATTGTATTATTAATCTGTTTAACTTGAATTTTATAGCAATATTTTATAAAATTTGCGTAATAAGTAGAAAATTACTCCCAACTTCATATAGGCTAGAAATAGTCAAAGAAATAATTTCTAGTAATATAATAGTAATTTAGCAAACATGCTTATTTTTATCTTGGATTAGTAGAGTCAGGGTGTTGTGGTGATTGAGGATATTATATTATTTTATATAAATAAATTACTATGCTATACACCATAAGTCATTACTGTGTATTTTTATCATGCAAAACAACTGTTCTGACTTTTATTGCTTTAATCTCCCTGGCCATTCCGCTTGATTTCAAGGAGTGGTTGAGGGCAGTTTGTGAAAATATTTGAATTGATAAAATAATTCTGAACAGCTTTTTAACGGCTTATATTCGATACAAACATAAAAAATGAGTGTAATTTCTGGTTCCAAAACGGCTTTAAAGTTTACAAATGTAAATTTAAGTTTATCGCTTGCCATATTTAAAAAATACTTTTTTTTTCAAAACTTTAATATTATAACATAGACTTTTTATGCCTATTTTGTTGGAGTAAATTCTTCCCCACATTACAATAAAGAACAAACAAAAATAAGAGATCGATTCAAATAAACTGATATGTATTAGTACGATAGTATGGTAATAAATATTGTTCATTCTTAACGGTAAATATGAAATCAAATTTACAAGAATAGTAACTGTACGGAAGTCAATGATACTAATACCAACACATAATAAGATTAAATGCAAACAGTAATACTTAAAGTAAAATCGTTTACTTTATGTTAAAAAGAAAGAGAAAAAAAAACGATATTAAAATAAATCACACATATAAACCTACATTTGTACTTTCTAGTGTACAAACAGGAAATATTTTAATCGTTCCGAACAAATGAACACATATTTTGACAATTTTCGCCGTTTTACACTTTCTACTACATGGTAGGAACTATAAAGGATGCATTGAAATTGATTAAAAATATATATTGATTTTGACTAAATTTTAGATCTTACTTTCTTCTGTAACGAACTAGATTTTGCAATTCTGTTTGTGTCTGCTTATGTGCATGCAAATAGGATAACATGAGAATCGTTTCAGTTGAGTTTTTCAGGTGATGAAATTTTATATAAAGGTGTTACATCAAATTCGTGGTTTATATAAAAAATTTGCATATTTAGCTAAACGGAAATGGTACTTAATCTTCCAGTTAACAGAAACCTGGAGTGATCTCTCCTAAACTTTTTCGAACATTCTTATAAAACATTACGGTGGGTGGCAACGCGGGATATAGACATGATTTTTAATCCATTTTTAATTACTTAAATTTTTTAAAATAGAATACTATCTCGTATACAAAAAGAATTGCGCACTATACTTATATGTGAAATGTCTTTTATCTATCTGAAACAGTACTCAAGCTATAGCCTTTTAAAAAACTAAAAGTAGAATAAGTACCACTTTCGGTTGTCGGAAAGCGCTGATAAGTTAATACAGAACTACAAATTTGATATAATATTTATATATGAAATTTCATCAAACTAGCTGTAACTGTACTCACATTATCGTGTTGACAGACACACATCGACACACAAACACACAAGGACAGAACTGCAAAACCCAGTTTTTCTGACTTGAATACTCATAAAACACCCGATTTAAATTAGTCCCCTTTACTACGTGTGTGATGAAGTACTGAGGTATAAAACGGTAAAAACTGTCAAAATGTTATGTGTATTTTATGCATTACTTCCTTTTTACTGTGTATACCAGAAAGTAATAGAGTGCATGTTAGTCTCAGTGTTAAACGTGAGGGTGGAAAGAATGAGGGATGTCATCCGTCTCTGTACAATAGTTCTCCCCTGTCTCCCATAATCATTTTAGTTGACAAAGTTTATTAATGTATCAATACATTAATTTTACTATTTAAAAAAAAAAAGTCTTCTACTTCTTTTTCGTTCTTAATTTTTAGTGTTGGAAGGGATCGAGCCATTATCTGCCATAGGGTTTGAACACGAGACTATTTTTCGAATTTATCAACCATGAGCTTTTGTCGACTCGACCACGCCTCAATCACAATTAAAGATATGTGCCAACTGGTTATGCGCCATTGAGGTTCTGCCCGAGGGTTCGAACTCGAGAGTTTTCGGTTTAGCAACCACGAGCTTTACCGACTCGACCACGCCGACCCCCTAAAAAAGAAGTAATAATGATAATAATTATAACTATTATCTGAAATTGATATTCAGTCGCATCTTTAAAAAAAACTACTTTTGCACACCTAAGCTAAAATTATAGAAAAAATTGTGTTACTTCATTTTGACAGCACCGGCGTTGAATGAGGAAATTAAATTTCATGTTTTTATTTCTTACAATTTTTAAACGCAGTAGGCGTCATTTAATATCTTCTTATACAAATATTCTTATACAAGCAATATACAGGGCCTATAGCTTACTGTTTGCTATGTATTTATAGTTCAGATCTTATATCTCTTTTGCTTAGTTAACAATAAAAGTTTAATTATTATCTTTAATATTTATCAGTGAATTGTAAGTTACAGTTAAAACGTTATGTTTTTTTTTCATTTTTAACGAAAGAAAATAAGTTTAAAAAATGATAACTATTAAATACAGTAGTTTATGAAAAACACATTAAAAGTAAAATATTTAAAATTATTTTGTCTACTTTTATGGAAGTAGCTAAAAATATAAACTAATAATTATTTTACTTGTATAGTTATATCAAATGTTTCACTTACATGAAGATTAAATACATCCCATGTGGAGATGCGTTATAAAACACGGCTCTTATAAATAAAATTTAAAAAATACATAACTATTGTAACAAAAACCCATTGTATATATGATTCTGTTTTTAAAAGGCAATAAAAAAAAGGAAAGTGAAAAATTAAACAATATAAATAAAACTGTATAAGCTTTAATTGGTACTAAAGTTTAAAAAAATTAACAATAAAAGGAATTTGCTGTCATCAATAAAACCTTTTATTTATAAAATATGTTACATATTTAATAAGCAAAAAATAATATTTAATATAAAAAACTAATGTTTCCAATTTTTTTTTGAAATTGTAATTTCTTATTATTTTTTTAAACTAATTCGTTAATAATGGAGTCGACACCACATACGTCTTAAAATATGATATAACCCTAAAGTTAGATAGCGATCTCTAACAATATTCTGACCCTTCATAGTCTGTAGTCGACTCGCAGTCAAAAATCCAATTAGCAGTGATACTTTTTTCTCCTTGTTGCTCTAGCTAAGCGAGCGTTTAGCTCTTGTAATTTGTTCTGATGTCTTCCCTTTTATTGTTTGAATTTAGTATTGTCTAATTAGATTAAAAATAATACATTCTTACTTTGTCATGTAACAGTATGGTATCTGAAAATTTTAATTGACATCGCTGCTTTAGAAAATGGTTATAATCGA